TCAAGTCTTTTTTATCCCAGAGAGAAAGGACACAGTTTCCTCCAAGGAAAAACCAAAATTACCACACTCGAAAATCATCCACAAAAAATTAGAAGAATTAAAACATCAGGTAAATAACTTTCCTGTCTTTATTAAATATGAATTAATGCCTTATTTGACTGGAAAACTCTTCTTCCCAGGCAGGTCAAATCTCAAAATTTTACAAGGATTGGGAAAAACTTACATCAGATGCAGACACTTTACAAATGATTTCCAGGGTTAAGCTTGCATTTACCTGCATAGACCCTGTTCAGCACCAATCTTCTTTAAATATTCTTCCAAAGGCAGAAGCCAACCTCATTGATTCAGCTATCTAAAGCTCATCTCATAAAACTGTTGAATTGCATCATTAGACTTAAAAGATGCTTATTATAGCGTCCCAATCCATCCTAATTTCCAAAAACTTCTTAAATTTTCATATAAAAGTAATCTATACAAATTTACTGCTTTCCCCTATGGACTCTCTTCTTGCCCTAGAAAGTTCACTAAACTGTTCAAACCCGTACTAGCTTCGCTACGGATGAAAGGGCTTATTGTTTTAGTTTATATTGATGACTCATTTCTAATGGGTCGCACGTATGACCACTGTATTGATAATGTCGTTGAAACATCAACATTATTAGAGAAACTTGGTTTTGTCACCCACCCTAGTAAGTCGGTATCTATTCCAACCAAAGAAATAGTTTTTCTTGGTTTTTTAATCAATGCACAAACAATGACAGTATGACTTACAACTGAGAAAAAAGGCAAACTTATGTCCCTTATTACCACATTGCTGGCCTTTGAGGCAATTAACATAAGATCTGTTGCCCAAGTAGTGGCTATATGGTATCAAGTTTTCCTGCTGTAGAATATGGACCACTTTACTATCGCAAACACGAAAAAGATAAAACCGTTATCGAAAAAAAAGGGGAACTACCAAGCATCTATGATTATTTCTAAAGAAGCTAAGACTAAATTGCATTGATGGCTTGAAAATTTACAGGGATATTTTAAAAATATTTTGACACCCTCAGTTGACTTGGTACTTTATTCTGATGCCTGGATAACTGGCTGGGGGGGGGGGAGCTCTTGAGCACCAATCAACACGAGGAAACTGGTGCAAACAGGAGATTATTGATCACATTAATATCCTTGAGATGAAAGCCCCTTATTGGCACTTTTGTTTCAAGCTTAGCAGGGAAACATGTCAACAGTTTGATTGACAACAGCACTGATTGTGTTTGTCATAAACAATATGGGTACTAGCCACAATGACAAGTTACATGCTTTGGTGGTAGATATTTGGGAATTTTTCATGTTAAATAAGATTAAACTTACAGCTGTCCATTTACCAGGGTCAACTAATATTGTCGCTGATAGAGGATCCAAAAAAATATACCGTGAAGGTGAATGAATGTTAAACCCATGCCATATTTGAAAAGCTCTGCAAATGTTTTATTTTAAACCTGAAATTGATTTGTTTGCCTCACGACTAAACAAGCAAGTCAAGAAATACTGCTCATATCAACCAGACACAAAAGCAACTCATGTTGATGCCTTTTTCTATTCCATAGAAAAATCTAAGGTTTTATTGTTTCCCTCCTTTTATTTGTATTTTACAAACAATTCAAAAAATTATGCAAGAACAAGCAACGGGCATCTTTGTGATCCCGAATTGTCCAACAAAACCCTAATACCCATTGATTAAACCCCTGCTAGCACGGCCACCATATGTATGCCATCCCTCTCACACACTTCTACATCTACCAGCTGTGCCAGAGGAGATACACCACATCGCCAAGAAGTTAGAACTGAAAATTTGTTTTGTATCCGGCAACAACTTACTGAGTTAGGTGTATCGGAGAGATCATCTGATGTAATCATGGCCTCTTGGAGGACGGAAACAAATTCCCAGTACCAAACATATATTACAAAATGGGGCCAGTTTTGTAGCGCTACAAATAGTTTTAATCCTCAGTTTTGTAGCGCTACTAATTTTTAATCCTCAAATTTCAGAAATTATTGATTTTCTTTCCGAACTTTTTCACTTTGGTTTATCGTATTCGGCAATTAATTCAGCCCGTAGTGCCCTATCAGCCTTGTGCAGGACAAATGTTCATTCTATACCGTTTGGGCAGCACCCACTAGTCCAAACGTCTCATGAAGGGTGTATTTGAAATGAAGCCAACTTTACCTCCATATAACTCTATTTGGGATGTTAATGTCGTTTTTGATTATTTAAGAAAACAACCCAGAATGCAGGATTCAACCTTAAAAGACCTTACATGTCGTTTAACATTTCTGCTTTCCATACTAAGTGGAGAAAGGTGTCAAAGTATTCATCTCCTTAATATAAGAAACATGGTTCTATCAGTGGAGAAATGTGTCTTTGCAATTCAAGAAAAAATCAAACAAACAAGGGTGCGACACCATATTCCACCAATTGTTTTCGAGGCTTACCCTCATGAGCCTAAGCTCTGTATCGTTCGGCACCTGACGGAATACATCAAGCGAACAGAGAATTTACGAAGTCAAGAGTGCCAAAAACGTTTGATAAATTATGCGAAACCGTACAAACCGGTCTCGCGTGAGACAATATTGCGGTGGTGCAAGACAGTGTTATCAGCGGCTGGTATTAATACAAAGGAATTTGGCTGTCACAGTACCCGAGTCTACATCTTGTGCAGCTCATAAATTAGGAGTTGCTGGAATTGTTGTGTTTTCTCTTAATGAAAAAATTAAAGTCTGATTCCATTGTCCACTGTGAACTCTCATGCAACTTGACACGACCTAGACTGATGACGGAGTAGAATTTAAAAATTAAACAAGACTTATCTTAAGTTGAAGTTTAATTTGAATTCTACGAGTCATTAGCCGGGAGTGGAAGAGTTGTATGCCCGAACCCATTGTTTTACAATCACTCCCACCCAACTCTTCCACTCGAACAATGATTTCAGACTGTCTTTGAAATGTGGCTAACTTGCGCATGCATATGCTCTCTCATACAACTCTACCACTTCCGGCTGATGACTCGTAGAATTCAAATTAAACTTCAACTTAAGATGAGTTTTGTTTAATTTTTTAATTAAACTTGAAATCATGCCATTATTCAAGCGTATAATTAGTTTTTTTGGCCTAAATTCCGGTTTCACTCCATTGGTCTTTATTTTGGAGAGCGTTCTAGCAAACTCATATGGAAAATTTATGATCTACCTATGATCTCGTCTCCTATAGCCGAGATCTCGGCAACCGGGCCAGTTTGCAGTTTTTTAAAACAACAGACTATTTGTTGATCGAACCAATTTTGACAAAGTTTTAAAGACCTTGATCCGAACCTGTGTATACATGATTTAATCAACAAATGTTTTTTCCCACATTATCGAGTAATGAACATCACAACGTTTAATATAAGAATTATCTCCGTATAATCATAAAACACTACTGTTTGTATGATTTGAGCAAAAATGAATGAAATAAGATACAAAACAGGATTTTTCCTGACGATAGTTAAACTTTTACTGTTTTTACTATCATTTAACATAAATTTCAATTTTAATTTTATTTACTTCTATTTTCTCTAGCCTTTTAAAATTCATGTTAAAGAATTTTTTGCAAACTCTGTCATACCTAATCGACCCACTATCACGTCTTCAATTATTTTATTAGTGAAGCACATACGATATTTGCGTGGCTACTAATTGAATAGAAGGAATCATGACTTTGGTGTAACCCTAAGTTGAAACTGTCCTTAGATGTATTTTAATCTGCACTTAAATAAAACGTAATGAACTAAATGAAGGTTGCCACAAAAATATTAAATTCGCTGCGTAACGTTAAACACATACTTGCTCACTCAATGAATAATTTTGAATTTCAGATTTCAGAGAAATGACAAGCATGACATTCCACCTTTTTCTGAGATACGGCCAGAAGTCAAATATAAATTCTTTGGGTACTTTTTATTGTTACAAAAGATACTTATGCTTTTACTTGAAAAAGCTTTTAAAATAATGGCAAGTTTTCTTTCACGGAGACCACTTCATGTAATATTCTTTATTGTTCTGGTTGCCATAGCACTAACTACAGGATTTTTCAAGCTGGAGGTAGAAGAAAACGTAAAGTATTTGTTTTTACCTGAAGACAGTCAAGCATCACATGACATTAGGAAAGCAAGATACCTTGGGTTTGAACTAGAATTTCGAATGGAAGAAGTAATCATTTTGCCTAAGGAAAACAGTTCTGTTCTTTCTTATGAATGTTTATCAGAGATGATGTCTTTGCACAATATGATAACAAGAATAAAAGGATATAATCAACATTGCTTTAGGTTCGACCAAAACACAGGATGTGTTTCGACTAACCTGCTTGAAATTTTTGATTTTCAAATGAAAAACTTGATGAACGTCTCTTCAAAAATACATGCAACGCTAAAGAACAACAGTTTTCTCATGGCAAATGGAAGAACATTAAACGAAAATTTCAATACTATTTTTGGAAAATCTGCATCGCCTCTTACAAATAATTCAACAAATGCCTTACGAATGGTCTTTTACATGAACGAATATTTAAGAAAAAGTAAACAACGGGAAGACATTCTAGAGTGGGAAAAAGAATTTCTTAAAGCATCTTTTTCGTTTTCAAAAAACACAACGTGCTCCAAGGTATATTTTGCAGCTGAAAGAAGCCTTGATGATTCTGTGACAGATAGTACTAGCTCTGATATTATATTATTTACAATAACATTTGTTATTATGGGGCTTTTTAGTGGAATAGTTAATGGCAGAGGTGGTAATTTACAGTTCGGACATCAATTGTTAGGATTTGCTTCATTGATATGCATATATTTAGGCATAACAGCTGCATTTGGCTTTCTAATGTATATTGGAGTTCCGTTTGTAAGTTTAGTTGGAGTTTTACCATTCTTGGTTGTTAGCATTGGTGTTGATGATGTATTTATTATATTACATGAGCTTGATGTAATGTCTCGTAAGGATATCCCAGCTTTATATATGCTAATAGGCACTATGGTTCGCAGTGGTCCAACCATCACCATAACAACACTGACAGATCTAGTTGCTTTTGCCGTAAGCTGCCGTTCTCTTTTCCCAGCAATCCGCTTTTTCTGTACCTACGCAGCACTGTCAATATTTGTAGCATTTTTTATGATCATGACAGTTTTCATTGCCTGTGTTTGGTTTGATATCAAAAGAATCAACTCTCGACGCATGGATATTCTACCATGTTTCATCGCCTCACCTAAAATACTTCGTTGCTCGGGATCTAAGAAATTTGATTTCAGCTTTGTTCTGACACGACTGGGAAAATTCATAACAAGTAGATTAGGAAAAATTACTGTTTTGTTGGCGTCCGCGCTTCTTCTATCCACTGGAATTTACGGAGTAGTTAATATTGATCAAAGTTTCAGCAGACAACTTTTAACTACTAAAGATTCACAGTATCGTAAATTCTTGGACGTCTATGAAGAAAATTTTCATCTTAATATTGAAGTTAATATAATTTTTCCTGGAAAAAATCAGTCAAGCGTTGAAATTCAGGACGTTTACATGCAGGCTGAAAATGTTGTTAGAAATAATAAACATTTTATTGCGAAATCTGTATCATGGCTGCACGAATATTTGTCTTGGGCAAAGAAAAGTAATTTGGACATTAACAAAAGTAGAATATTTCATGAAAATTTGAGGCATTTTATTGCATTAGCAGAATACAGACGTTTCTCACAAGACGTAAAGTTTTCAGAAGATAAAAGCCATTTAATAGCATCAAGAATGTTGATATACTCCAAAAGTAATGCTGATTCCATTTTTCAGCGAGACATGATGACCAGTCTTAGGGATGACTTATCACTTTTTCGTGTGAACGCATTTGCTGTGTCGTTGCCATTCATATACTTTGAACAGTATGCCCATGTTTTAAAAGAAACAATCACCAACTTAATTGTCGCTGCCATTTCAATTCTCTTCATATCACTAATATTTCTGAATAATTTCTCCGTCATATTTTGTCTTTTATTGGGATTTTTTGCTTTAATATTTGAACTTTTCGGAGTGATGTACTTTTGGAATGTATCATTAAATTCAATCTCCATGATTAATCTAGTCATGGCACTCGGCTTTTCTGTCGACTACAATACTCACATTGCTTATCACTTTGTTACATCAAAAGCGACGTCACGTGAATTACGTGCAATCGATGCTCTGCGCAATATTGGTGGAAGTGTTCTTCTGGGTGGCTTGAGCACCTTTCTGGGAATGTTGCCGACAGGGTTTGCTTCATCAACTGTATTTCAAATTTTTTTCAAGATGTTTGTTGGGATTGTAGGACTTGGTTTGTTTCATGGCCTGATAATATTACCAGTTTACCTAACAATTGTAGGAAAAGTCTGTGATTTCCGTGAAAAGAACCTCACTACAATAATACAGAGATGGTCAAGTTCTTGGCGCAAGCGCAAAGTTAAAAGAAGTCACCCTTCTGGCTCACTAAAAATCACTGAAAAGACATTAAGTAACATTCCTATTGCAGTTACTGGGATAAGTTGCCGTTTTCCAGGAGGAGCAAATTCAAAGAATGCTTTTTGGAACATGCTTGTTGAAGGTCGTTCCGGCCATGGATCTTACCCTACAAACAGACCAACTTCTAAGAACTTTTTGGAAGATTTCAATCCAAATAAAGACATTCCAGGCAAAAATTACGTTGTAAAAGGAGCTTTCCTTGACCACATCATTGGATTTGATGCTCATTTTTTTGGAATATCTTCAATCGAAGCTCAATCCATGGATCCCCAACAACGCTTGCTACTTCATGTAGTATATGAAGCAATTGAAGATGCTGGAATTTGTTTGGAGGATTTGCAACAATGTAGGACAGGTGTTTATGCTGGAGTCATGAACTTGGACTACAGTGCACTTCTTTTGGATAAATCAAATGCTCGAAACATTAATCAATTTGCTTCCACGGGATCTGCTTCATCCATCATTGCTAACAGAATTTCCTTTTGTTTAAATTTAACTGGTCCAAGTCTAACTGTCGACACCGCTTGTTCGTCTTCATTGGTTGCTCTTGATTTGGCTTTTAATCATCTTCAAACTGGTGAATGTGATGTAGCTATTGTTTGTGCACCCAATTTAATTTTTGACAGCGGAAATTTCCACTTGGCAAGTTGTAAAACTCAACTGCTGGCACAGGATGGTCGATGTAAGTGTTTTGATGTTAAAGGAGATGGATATGGTCGAGGTGAAGGTGTAGCTGCTGTGATTATAAAGTCTACAGAGTCTGCTTTAGTTGACCGGGATGAAATTTACGCTGAAATTCTTTCATGTGGAGTAAACAACGATGGTCAAACTGAAAGTACAATTACTTCACCAAGTGATATTGCTCAAGGCCATTTGTTTAGAAGAGTGCTTGAAGAATCGGGTTTGTCGAAAGATGATATACAATACGTGGAGGCTCATGGAACTGGTACAGCAGTAGGTGATGTTGTGGAGATGGCGTCATTGGCATCAGTTTATGGAAATAGCAGCAATCGAATTCTTCGTGTAGGCTCAGTGAAGTCAAATATTAATCACACCGAATCCACGGCTGGCTTAGCTGGTTTGATAAAAACTTGTCTTATGATAAAATATGGCCAGTTTGTGCCAACTATTAACGTCGAGGAAGTGAAATCTCAACTGAGAATTCCAGAAAGAAAAATGATGGTGCAAGTTTGCAGTGAAACATGGAAAACCAACAATAGTGCACCAAGAGCTGCCGCAGTTTCCTCGTATGGATTTGGTGGTACAAACGTTCATGCGATACTAAAAGAAGTTACAAAACTGCCAGCTGCTGTGTTGCCCACTCGGTCGATAACTCATCGAGTAATGACATTATCTGCTGCTTCAAAAAATGCTTTGATTGAAATGGCGAAAAAAATGTGCAGTTCGCTTAAAACATTGGCTGAGGGCGATGAACTTTTAAAAGATAATATTTGCTACTCCTTGAATGAAAGGTACTCACTTCATTCACATCGTTTAGCTCTTGCTTTTGCCCATATAAATGATGCAGCAATGGCTTTGGAGAAATTTTCTAAACAAGACAGAAGATGGGAAGAATTAGTTGCTGTTGGTCAAATTACTAATAATCACAAAAAGGTTGCTTTCTTGTATGGTGGACAAGGATCTCAGTGGTATGGGATGGCAAGGGAAATGATAAAACAAGAGCCAGTATTTAAGGAAAGCATTGAAAAAATTGATGTTCTATTAAAACAACATAAAGCCACATGGTCCTTGATGCACGAGCTTTCCCAGCCTGAAGAAATGTCCCGTCTTCATGAAAATCCGATTGGACAAACAGCATTGTTTGCTGTCCATGTGGCAATAACTGAACTGTTTAAGTCTTGGAATTTAATACCTTCAGCTGTTATTGGTCACAGCCTTGGTGAAATATCAGCAGCTTGGGCATGTGGTGCTTTGCATTTAAGGAAAGCATTGCAATTAGTTTTATTTCGATCACAGTTACATGAGCAGTGTTCTACAACTGGTTGCATGGCTGCCATTGGCCTTTCATTTGAAGAAACAAGAAGAATGCTAAACGTGCTTAAATTAGAAAATCAAGTTGATATAGCAGCTGTCAACAACCCTAGAAGCGTCGTACTTTCTTGTGGAAAAGATTTGATGGAACAGGTAGAAACTCATGTGGCAAGCACCATGGATAATTTATTCTTTAAAAAGTTGCAGACGTCACGGGCTTATCACAGTCAAGAAATGGATAAAATTAAAGAAGCATTTTTCCGTAAAACTTTTGCTTTTAATGTGCACCAAAAAGAAGGCAATGTTCCTTTTTTCTCTACTGTGACAGGGACTCAGTTGTCTGGTCAAGAACTTTCACTTGAACATTGGTGGAAAAATATCCGTCAAACAGTTTTACTTGAGCCTGCATTACGAGTCATGTTTTCTAACGGCTATCACTTCTTTGTTGAAATTAATGCGGCACCACAGATTTCTTATCATGTTCGACAAACATGGTCAAATTATCAAAAATCACAGTCTAACAGAACAAACAATTTTGCTGTGATTCAAACTATTCCAAAACGTTCGGTAAAAAACAGCACTTGTCTTTTCTCCAAAATTGTGTTTGTCAGCTTTTGTAAACGGCGTTTCTCTTTCATGGCATAACATACAAGGCTCTGGGTCTAAAACGTTTTTCCGGCGACCAACATATCCATGGCAAGAGACTGAATTTTGGTTCCGCGAAGAGCCTCGTATTGATTGTGTTACTTTCCTCCAGACAGAAAATCAAAAAAAAAGTCAATCATATATCACGGAGACATCCGTCCATCCTCTACTTGGAAAGATTGTGCCAACTTTGGCATTTACTGGTTTAAAAGCATGGGAATCTGAAATCACCTTACATGACGTAGATTATATTGAAGACCACAAGTTTGTAGACCAAGATATTCCTATCGTACCTGGTGCAGTGTTTGTTGAGATGATCTTTGCCATGTCAATTCATTTATGGCCAGGTTTAGCACCACATGTTGAGAGTTTGAGCTTTGACAATCTGCTCACATTATCCAACAATGATTCTCTTTTATTACGTACTCGTCTTTTGCCTTATGAAGGAGGAAGCCACCAATTTCAAATCACAAATGTTTACGAGAAAGATAGCGAGGTTGTTCTTTCCACTGGATCGCTAACAATTAATGCTAACTGCAATTTCAAAGAAGAAGGTAATATATTTTTTCATCTGATGTAACTCATTTACAGACTGTATCTGTGCATGCTCAGTACTATCTCCTAAAGTATTTTAGGTACGGCGACGATCTTTAGCTCATGTGAAAGCTTTTGTTGAGAACTTTAAGTTGAGATAGCTCAGTTTTCATTTAGAAATTGATCTATCTATCTAAAAGAGTTATTAGATCATTTTAAATGATCTTTATATTGCTAACAGAAAGTTTGTGTGGGCTATATATGTTTAATCATTAACACGTTAATATCATGTTGAAGATAATATTCAAGGAGACAATAATCGTGAAATTGAAAATTTCAAATTGGGAGCGACAAGATGGAGTCAAAAAAACTTTCAAATTGAACGTGATAAGAAAGGTTTTCGCTTTGGACCGAAGTTTGACTTAATCAAAGATGCATGGTTAAAGGATACACAAGTCCTTGCTCTTATTTGCCCTACGGATGAAATCATAGAAGAATGTCCAGCTCATTTCATTCACCCCACAATAATTGATGCCTGTTTTCAAACGGTTCTTCTTTTCAATGCACTAAAAGGAAAAATGGTCCCAAAGAAAATCAATCAGCTTACTGTGCTTCGTAGACCTCAGTACTTTAAGCATCTATATGCTCTCACTACAATCGTTGAATATAAGGAGAATTTAGATTGCAAGATCATTCTGATAGATAGTATTGGAAGACCCATTTTAGTTATCGGAAAAATGGTTTTTACTGAAATTAGATCAACAGCTGCGGAGCCAACTTTTGAAAATTCCCTACTGAGATTACAGTGGGAAAAATTGGTTTCCACACCAGCTGACTACAGTTATCATAACGTTTGGCTCATCATAAAGGATCAAACTAAGTTTAGTGAGCAATTTGTCCAAAATATCCCAGAAGAAGACAACGTGAAAATTGTCGAAAAACTGGATACACTTTCCGATATCATAGATGCAACCCTTGAAAAACTCAAAACAGATAAAGAAAAGTTGCTGGTGCTTAATTTCATGCCAGTGAATGCAAGAGGTTTTGATTTGCAATCATCTAACTTTGACGACATTCATGGTCATACTTTCGAAAGCTGTCTCACAGTTTCTAAGGTAGTTTGTAAAAAAGAGGCTTACATGAAGAACATTCGAATTATTTTTGTTACTTCAGGGGCAGTTACATTTTCAACCGATAACGTCAATTCAAATTCCAACAAATTAACGTCATTTCCATGGGCGTCATCAATCCTTGGCTTTCGAAGAAGCTTACAGGAAGAGTATCCAAATTTGAATTCTTATATAATAGATTTACCATGCAGTCCATGTAAAGACGATTTTCAACAATTGGCAAAAAAAGTGACGAATATTCATTTGGAAGAAGAAATTGCATATAGGAATGGCGAACGCTACGTTGACCGAGTTAAAAAAATGGATGAATGGGGTAATGGACATTCAACGACGAAATCATCTCTTCTTGTAAAGAATGGAAAAAGACAACCATTTCAAATAGTGTTGCAGTCAGGGAGATTTTTTCTAAAAGAAATGACAGTGACACAAAAAAATGAAGAAATAAAACAAACCATTGAAGTATACCATGTAGCTACTGCTCTTCAAAAGCCTTGGAAAAAAGCAAAACTATCTGATTATCTGAGTTTTTCTGGAAAATTACTTTCAGAAAAAATGGAATGCCGTCTTGTAACTGGTTTTTGCAAAGTTGGTGACCTTGCAACTTTCATTGACGCTGAAAAATGCTGTTTCGCAGATATCAAACCTTGTTTAAGCATTCAACAAGCAACTTTACTCAGTTTACCTCTGGCTTGGGCATACTACCTTCTTAAAAATATTTTGACACTGTCAAAAGAAGAGACTGTTCTGATACATCATCAAAATCAAAATATTTCTTACATCATTGCATGTGTGGCGACTTCCATTGGTGTTTGGCCTGTATGCTATGTTAACAATGTTGCAAATACAAAGATAATGAAAAGCAATAAAGATTTAACAGTTCTCACTGACATCGAAATTTTAAGAGACGACTTTGGAACAATTGCATTTGATGCTCTGTGCATTCCTAGCAACTTAGATAGTTTTGTGACTGGCAAATTTGTGGAGCACCTGAAACCTGGAGGTAGCGTGGTTCTTGTGAGTGAAAATGAAGAGGAAAAGATGAATTTGGCAATTTATAGCAGAGATATGAATGTCATAACGAGCAGTCTGAAATATTCTATTAAAAATTCTCAGCTCTTTTCACAGATCCTTGATAGCTGCTTTACCGCTTTAGAAACTTGTCAAGGTTTGCAACAGATGTTAAATATACCATATTTTGATGAAAGTATCTTTAACTTGATCAGTGACTCCAGTGATGGAGTTCTCAGTTCTAATGAAAGAAATAAAGAAGGCCTGTATACAATCTCAATGCAACCTGACATTCATCCAGAAAAATTTAATTTTTACAATCAAGCATTGGATGAAAACGGCTTCAAGCATGATCGTTCTTATCTTGTGGTTGGAGGAGTTCGTGGATTTGGATTTGAAGTTGCCAAATGGATGGTTTTCAATGGAGCAAAAACAGTCATCTGCACCGCCCGCTCTCCTCCCAATCAAGAAAAACTTGCTGAACTTCAGAGTTTACAGAAGGAGACATCTTCGAATATTATTGTTCGACAAACAGATGTCACATCGATAGAGCAGATGAAACGTCTTGCAAAAGAAATGGAAGATATGCCTCCCTTAGCTGGAATTATCTTCTCTGCGATGGTTCTAGCTGATCAACTTCTTTGTGATGCTGACTTAGAAACATGCAAAAAAGTGGTCGAGACAAAAGTTAAAGGTATAAGTTTAATGAATGTGAATTCTGACCATAAGCTGTATTGTAATAAAGCACTTTTTGCAGGAAACCTTTTCCTATGTAATACTAATGTCCTTTGGGACTCACTAAAATTGCTTCGACATAGCAAATTTAGTAAGAGATTTAAACTGATCATTCATCTTTGTCGAAGATCATTTGCAAAACTGGTGTTTTGTTTTAAACAGATGCATAAAATGGAGATAAATATAATAATTTTTATATCAGAGTTGTTCAATATTGATACTAATTTATGTTTTCCTTGCAGGCAGTGTGATCCTTCACGAGTTTAGTCTTTCAATGGACCTTGACTTCTTCATCATGTTCTCTTCAGTCTCTGGAGCTCTTGGAAATGCTGGTCAGATAGCATATGCTGCAGCAAACACGTTTTTGGACGAAATTTGTGAATATCGTCAGCAAAAATTGGATCTGCCGGCTTTGTCGATTGCATGGGGTCCAATTGCTGGTGCTGGCGTTCTTAGTAGAAAAGTGAATGTTTTGCCGGTACTTGAGTCATATGGACTTACCTCTATTCATTATAAAGCAGGTATATAACATCACTTGACCGATGGTCTATTTAAATAATCCCAAAATCAAAAACTTTATGTAATCCGCTTGTCAAAAATGTCAGGATTAATTCTTCAATTTTCATACTTACAATACATGAAATGATTAATTTGCAGCTTCTATACAAGTAATACTTCGAAAAAGAAAGTTTAATTGAGTTAATACGAAACGTTTGTGCACTCATCAATTAAGTGTATATTGCTGACAAGCCAAGTTAGTTGTAACAATTAGTATGCTATTATTATCTATTGTCAATGCATTTTGTATGAACCTTCATAAATGAATAATTAGAATAAACATTTTAAAAAATTAGAGTGGGATCAATAACAATTTTCACTGGTTTGTTATTTGTAGCTGCATTAATTTATTGCAATATAACAAAAATATTAAAATGCTCAAAGGTTCAAAGTTTCAAAGAGAAAGAAATTCTAACTCATCTTATAAGTTCATCTTCCACAGGTTTTAAAAAAATGGCATCGAGATCTTAAAAAGCATGTAAAAGTAAAATATGTGAATGCCGCATTTTTACTGATTTTAAAAGGCAATTCTCTCCCGATCATTATTATACAAACTAACCTAACAATAAAATAACCATTAAATCTTTACATTTTTGCTTATGAATTCTCTATAGCCATCAAATACTTAGAGCGTCTTCTCTTTGGAGAGGGGAACAATTGCTTCTGTTTGTGTATGTCCAGTAAACTGGGAAACTTATCTACAAAATCACTATTCCTCACGACTACAAATTATCAGAGAAACAGAAAGCGTTACCGCAAGACAACATGAAATATGGACACTTGAAGACCTATCACTACAACCATTAGAATCACGAATAAAAATTGTAACAAATATTGTTCAAACGTTGTTGGGAATGTGGTCTGGAGTTGATGAAGCCGACTATGATATGAACATTAGCCTTCACAAATATGGCATCGACTCAATGGCAGCCACTAATATGAAAATCCGAATTCAAAATCACATTGGAGCTATCTTCGAGGTGGGTCATTTTACCTAAATTGTAACATTTGCTAGCTTGGCAAAGAATTAGGGAAATTACACAATTTATGATTCGAAAAATCAGTTTTAAAAATATGCTTTCATTTGAATATCAATTTCACGTAACTAATCTTTTTGTTATTTACAGTCCTATTATTTCGTTCAACCCAAAACAAGTGGTTTAACAATTATCAATGACATTATGGCGCAAATCGATGTGTTGATAGCAATGAAAAGACAAACAGAAAACAAAGATCACTCGGATAGAGCAGTCAATGATATCGAGAATAGTGTAGAAATTGCTGAAGTCGAAATCTCGCAAATTAGCAAAGAGAAAGTGATTGCACTTTACTCTCCAGATGAAGTTGTTGTAAACGTATTTATGATTCATGGTAGTCATAAATCTGCTTTATCATTGGCTTCATTTGCTCTTGGCTTTGAAGATCAGGTAGCAAATGAATCATACAAAACATGTAAATATTGTGGTATTTACTCACTTTAAAAAACAACATATTTGCAGTAAAAAAATATTGACCAAAAATTTCTTAGCAGTTAGCATGTCCAACCTTGCTGGTAGATAGATAACGTTACTGTCACTAAAGCGACATTGGTTCCGCATATAATCATCTTTTATATGTTACATTCTGTGTTTTTTATTACATTATATAGTCTTACGTTTCACTTTATGGTATTGGAATGGATGAAAATTTATTTGAGACATCAGACTATGGCAATGTAAAAGATTTAGCAAAATCTTACATTAGATTAATAAAAAGTATTCAACGCCTGGGACCGTACTATTTGGGTAAGATTTTCACAAGATGAAGAAATTGCCATTTTATTACCACATCCAACAATGGAACGACATAGATTTTTTTAATCTATTATTGACAAAAATTTCTATTGTTTTTTAAGCGGGATACTCATTTGGTGGAACGGTTGCTTACGAAATGGCAAGTCAGTTGAAAAGAAACAATGAGACCGTTTTAATGCTTTTGATGGTCGATACGTACGCCTGGTTTCCTAATTCTCTACTGTACGCAAAAGATTTCTTTTATAATCAAGCCGAAGTCAACTTAAAAAATGCAATGGAAATTGTGGTAAATATTATGTTATATTTTGAACGCCATTGTGCAGTGTCAATGTACATTGTTTTTGAGCGTCTTTAGACACAAGATAAATAATATACACTTAATGTATGCTCCAGAGGGAAACAGTGAGTTTTGTTTTCCAAGAGGTTCAATTTGTTTCCCGAAATGAAGTAGAGGAACATTATAGGAACAAAGGTCATATACTTCGAAACATTTTCAATAAAATCAACGTCTTTCAGGGTGGATTTGACCGGCAAAATTTACTAACAAAATGCTTAGGGTGACAACAGCATTTCTGGTCGACTTCCAAATGTTCTCTGATATTTTTTTCTATTAATAGTTGAATTTCGGTGCATAAAAAGCTCAAGAAATGTTTTTTTTTGTTATGGCTGCATACCTGTTTTATTTGCTACGATATTAAAATTAGCTGGCGACAATTTTTTAATTGTTTTGCTGGTGGGCAACATTGCATTTATTTCAAGTCATGTGACAGAAGTATGTTCTTTGGGACTGCAAAAAGAATAAATCTACAAGGTTAAAAGCTCACCGTTTATATAAACGAAACGCAAATCAATATGACAACAAGTTATAAATAGCTGGGGTTGATCTTGAACCTATTTTAACCTATTCCGGATATTTTAATAAAGTTTATAGAAAAGCAGCAAGGGGACGAGTGAACTTGTTGCAGAAAATCCGTCATCTCATTGACATTGATACTGCTGAAAGAACATACAAATATATATCGGATTACTCTCTGTAATTCTGTTTTGTTTTTATTCTTGGTATTCTTTTGTAATTTTTGAACTTTACACGAAATCTTTCTTTTACTGCTTTTTAGCCAATCATGTTACAGTATTTACAGTGCAATTATACATTTTTACAGTGCAACTACACATTCTTATAGTGCAATTATAGATTTTTTACCGTCCAAATACTCATTTTCACAATGCAATTGCACATTTTCATAGTGAAATTATAAATACTATACTCAGTGCAATCATGACTAATAACAATTGAGAAGTATCTCAAAGTATATTATTACTTATGTTTTTGCATATCGCTTATTGCACATAATTGCTTATCAATACGCTTTATAATATTTAAATTGCTTCAGGACAAAGTCTTCGTTATCTTTTCTCGGCAATTTTCAGAAATTGCTTTTGAGCAACATTTATAATGCTGTACTTACTTTTTTTATTATAAGTAGATAATATTTAAAAAAATTTTGAGTAAAGTATATTTACAAAAAAATGATTAAATAATGATAAGTCATTTTCTTCATCTTGCATATTTATTAAAAACGCATATTTTAGGTTCGACAATTGATTGAGGGTTTTGCTTATACGTCTCTGGGTGTAACAAAAAATCAAGTTCATGATCTTTACGAGAGCTTCGAAGATTACCATGCCATCATTGGTGCATTAGAAGATATGGCTGCTGAACGAAATGTAGAGTTTTTCCTAAGAAAAAATGTCGACACTGTTCTTTATGAACTGAGATCAGCTAAAGATGCTCATCTTGAATGGCAACCCGCGAAGGTTTGGTGGAAAGTGTCCTCATGCATTAACCTTAAATGTCATAGTATTATAAGTTAAAAATGATATTTTCAAATGAAAAAGAATTATATTCACCTGCGTTTACTGTAGTCATAGGCGTACGGGAGCTATTATTTCTTGGTGGGAGGGCAGTAAATATTTTCCTAACGCACTATGAAGGTTCCACCATATTTTGCCCGACTAGCGTTTAAAATTTTCCCAACTTTTCAATTTTCAAACTTTCTTGGGGAGGAAAAGCTGCCCCCTATCCGTACATCTATAACTGTAGTTTAAAAGAGCAAAACACCACGACTAAATTTGCTGACAGACATTGGAATTTTTTTGCTTTAAAGGTATTTTATAACGAGAAAATAACCTACATTAGTTGTGATCAGACCGTTACGGACTTCGTTTGTGGAATGAAGATTTGGGAGGAGTTGGTGAAAGAAATGGATATTCTTTACGTTCCTGGAACGCATTATGAATTGCTCGATGAAAATCGTGGCCAGATCTGCGGCACAATAATGATGACAACAGCTGCAATGCAGTATCAGTCCTCACTTAAAATCTTAAGTCTTCATCCAACGAGATCCAAGCTTCAAGAACGTTTAATAGAATTATTGAAAAGGGGGCTTACAGTCTTCAAACTTAGGACACCAGGTATGATACATGAGATGATAAATATCACTATAGCTGGGGAACTCAATTCATTTTAATAACAAACCCTTTAATAGCACTTGTATCACAGTAACTGAAAAAACCTATGCAATCTAATCACACCATATATGTGGGGCACCTTATAACATCCTTTGTATTAGGACATATCACTGTATCTCGGGCATTTTGTGCTCACTATTCAATGCTGTCATGAAATCGTTTAACATTACAATAGTGCAAACTGCAAAGTACTATTTAGAAAACTAACTAATGAATAAATTATTATGGATTCAATCACCTCAACAATAATGATTTGATTGGTCGAGTTCGGTCGAAATTTATTTACAATCTATTTCGAAGTGGTAGCGAATGTTGCACGAGGCTATTTTTAAGCATTATAATAAAATTAAATGTCATTGTTGTGTATTTACTGCATGCCACTCAAATATTATACGTTCACCTATATTTTCATCTAACTTTGCTGGCAAACTTGTAGCAAATTTAAAAATATTAACGTTTATTGGGTTTGCTTATTACTTGGTTAGGTTATTGGTTTGATTTGATGTATAAGTATTTAACTTCAACTAAAATACAGGCAACTGAATTTAAAGCTGTAAAAATTTCTCTCAGAGAGTAAAATGATTTTTTGAGATTCAAAATGCAATTCTGGTTAAAATAGTTCTAAAACTTTGGTCTGAGTTTGATCCAAACAGATGTTGGAATTATGTGAACAAAACTAGTATTAATTATAAAAAGCACATTAGGATTAGGCCTGACATTTGATTCATCAGAAATGGTAATTGTACTTTTTTTAAAGCTTTTAATAATCTAAGTTCTCTCTCTTTATTGTTTAGTTACATCAAAACCAGTGAAAGGAGTTTTGCACCTTAACAATGAAGAAACGACATTGAACTTTGAATACGTCTTTTTAAAAAGACAGCGAACGACAAAAATTTGGCTTAATGGTAAAACACAAAATTACTGTACATGTTTTTATTTATTGAATTCGGTTTTGAATTCGGAATGAGAAAACTGCTGTCGATCCGAACAGTTTAAGTAAAGTTTCTGAATAGTTATGTTTGAAAGTTGAACATATAATAAACAATACCCAAAAATCTCTTTGGCCAACCCTTACAATTCCAGCACTGTATTTGAGACATAACACTTGTAACAATTGGTAACTATCAGGTTACAACATTCGGTTCGGTTGAAAATAAAACCCTTCAAATCCATGACGCACTTTTTTAGTAGTCGATCTAAATTTTGGCTGGTATGATTCTTGTTTTCCTTAATTTTTTCTTAATTTAAAGATTCCTAATCGAATGTGTATTCTTGTAGAGCTATCAAACATTCTTCCTGGCAAACACGTGGATGTTATCATCAAACATCATAGTAACCAAGAATATGTAGACCTCTTGGTATGTTTGCTTGGTAAGAAAGGGCGCATGTACATCTTCCAGTGCAAAGATTTTCAACAGATGAAGAAATTTTTGACGCATTTCAAGCCATATTTGGGGTGAACTTTTTGCATTAATCAAATGCACTGTCAAGATGCAAATGACTTTAGTCTCATCATACACCTTTAAACTTTACGTAATTTAAACTATGAGCTATTTATATATCATATAGCAACAATGAATTGATATGTCAAGTCTTTCTTATGTGTTCTCAAAATAATTTGAGCAGCATTTTAGTTTTCAGATGTTATGATTCTTTTGTTAACTTTAAAAGTAGTTCTGATTCCTGTGAATTACTCATATTCTCGCATTAGTCCTTTTATTAGCTACTAAAATATAAGTTTGTGAAAATTGTTTAGTAATGATAATACCTAAAACAAGCATGTGAAGATGATTTCATCATACCTTGTCTGGAAATTTTGTAGTCATTTTCTCAAAATTGCAAAATTGAAAAGTCTCTTAGCTAGCAAACTGGAATGAATGCATTTCATGTCAGTGGTCACAAATAAATGAGAAAACCGATCATAAAAACTACATGGTCAATTGCACTGATACTCTCGGGTTCAAACCATTCATCTTTTCGTTCAAAACGTTTCTAAAATTGGAAGCAATCGTCCACATTAGGGCAGGTGGTCACTGGCGTTATTGGCTAAAATTATAAATTAAATGAGTATAAAGTTATCCACGTATTTAGTGGTGTCTAAAAATGGACGCTTGCTGGATGTTGATGTATTTGCAATACTCCATGCATGAGCTGTAACCAGACGAAACGTAGAGCTGAATAATGCTAAACAATCAGATACAGACCAATGTTGCTGAGCTGTATCTGGATACAGACCGTGAATTCATAATTATCTTTTAATTCAGAGATCACGCTTTACACCCGTCGATGACATATATATATATATATGTAGAGAAGATAAAAGTTTCTCCGATTTTTGATTGATTTTTAAAAAATACTTAAATGCTTAAAATTTTAAGCATTTATATATTAAATGAATTACAAATTCAAACTTATATATATATTGTATATTGTGGTTCTCGGGCATCGAGCACTGTTTTATACGGAAAATCATAAATTATAAACTTTATATATATATATATATATGTATTAAATAAAGATTCTTTTTAAGTGATTTTTAAAAATCACTTAAAATCCAAACTATCTTTATGAAAAATTACAAATTTTCAAATTATATTTCTCAATATTTTTCCAGTATAAGGAACAAACAATAGGTCCACTTTGCAGCACAACATAGTCGTGCATATTTAATTAGAATATTACCTACGGGTACCATCTCAGTGTACCTATTGGTGAGAAAATGAAATTGAAAGGCAAATATTATGTTAATTACGTACGTAATAAGATATGGTAATACAAAACTTTCATTGGAGTATTATTTTACACTAAATTTTTATTCACTATATACTGTGAAACTGCCAAAATAGATTTACAAATTTTTAACTCAATTCATACATTTATAAAATCGTCCCAATCAGTGTATTTGAGAGAAAGAGCACTTAAACCATGGAATAAGGGCTAAAACGTGTTTATAAAATGAGTTTTGTTGCATAACTAAATTAATTAACAGTACTTTTATCTCAGTTTGACAATCAAAATAAAAAAACGCTCAGGAGAAATATAAGTATGAACACTTCAGTTTTGGTAATGGTGTTTCGTACTTAACAAACAACAATTTTTTGTTGACTGTTTCGCTAAAATAAATGTATTACATTTTAACTCACCAATGACATTTGTTTATTAAATTACGTGCATGGAGAGAGAAATGAAAAATTCGAGTTTATCAACCATTTTCTGTAAAAGATATAAATAAAACAAGCCTCCGAAGCTGAATTTATAAATTTATAAAGTAGCCATAGTGATATAGAGAGATTATGTAATATTACAATATATTAGCAGCAAACAGTGACAACCATTGCCTCAGTTTTAATGAGAAAACACGAACGTTTAAATAAGACAGTATTCTTGTGCACGTATATTGACGGAGTAAAACGAGTTGAATCCTTTTACAAGATCACGATAGAGCATTTTCGTTTTTAGCTTTCTTTTCTTCAAATTTCACCCTGTAGTACAAAAAAAGTATTAATATAAAAAGTTTTCTGTCTAAACCACCCCGCTTTAAATGCTGTTTCACTGAGAGACTTATGACGAAAGTGCATATTCCGGGACAAAAAGTTATTCAATTGTTAGACACAATAGAACATTTAATAATTATGCATGAATATTGCACGTGATATACGTATAGGAATAGATAAAAAGGAAAGACACACAGGCAAATGTGTCGGAAGTTTCATTAGATAGCAGACAACTACGAACTGTAAGATACGAAAGATTGACGATAGTGTATAAAAGAAAGTTATTAATTTATCATATTGTTTAAGATTACAATATTAAAAACATCCAAAGCGAACTAATTCTCTCACGGCCAACGATCACGCCGAATAAATTATCGATACGAAAAGGATCGTGTACGCAACAAAATTTTACAGCCCCTTTGGGTGATGCTTCACTAGGAAACAAACCTTGACTTTATAAGGAATTGAGCCATGCCAACAGCCTCGGGATTTCCACTTATCGTTACAATTCGTTCACTTGAACCTTCTCTTGCATCCGCAATTTTTATGCTAGCTTCAGATTTCGTCCTGCAGTAAGCCAGAAAAAGAGAAGCTGTCAGATGGTTATACGGTTAGATTTATTACATTCTAGCACAAGCAGAAAATACGCATCATAATCGGCCACAATTGCTGTACCTATTAACCTATACTACCATGCAGAATGAACAATTAGTATGGCGGTTATTACAAAAAATCGAGCAACAAAGCAAAAAATACGTAGCAGCTCAGTTATACATTAAAAATACGTACCTATACCTTAAAACATGAGGTTAATTTTGCTAATGCAAAAGCGGCTAGAATTTTAAAGTTATGTAACAATACCTTATCTCGTTGATTTTAGCGCCACGTCTACCAATCAAACTTCCTGCAAACTAATAAACAACAATTTATCGTAAGTTGGCGGGAAATTTTTATTCAACTAATGTAATACACATGCACAAGAAACAAACTCCGCGTGCTTACTTGGCTTGGTATTGACATAGTCTCAGTCATAAACTCATCTAAAAAGTCATCACTTCTCTTGCGTCTTCCTGCATATGAAAAAGGCCGTTTGAAGTAGAATCATGGGGCAAGGTAAGTGATAAAATGGAAACTTACTTGGGAGGGGACTTCTCAATAAAGGTCGACCTTGATCGCGACGCTACGTAAATAATAAATATATCTTATCTAGCGGATGGTAGGTCCATACTGAAAAAATATTTTCACGAGGAAAGGGACGCTTCTGAGGCAGAGAAAAATATTTTTTAAGTACGAAGCGCGCGACCTAAAGTTTCTATAATTTTATTTTTATATTGAAGCAATATTCACGTTGTAAAATTGTCGATTAGTGTCTTGTTCAGACTGAATTGGATTGTTTTCTACAAACTTCACTTACAAATTTAATTTTACTTGTAAACAAATTTATATCAGTATATACGTTTTGAACACGGTCAAGATATCAAAAGAATAACACTTTTGAGTACGGTCAAGATATCGTAAAAAGCCGCCCGCAGTTGCAACAAATCAACTTGCAAAAAATCAAAAATATCATTCTACATGCACGTATAAATAAAAAATAAGAAAATGACATATTTATAAACCAGTGATTTACCTCGTAAGAATCTCTGTCATATCGATGATTCCTCACGGGTCTGTTTGATTTTTTGTTCATTGGAGAGTTCTCGGGATAATATGGGTCAATATGGCAAGAAACAGGGTTCTAAATTAACACATAAATTGATTTATGCTGCAATATAAAAGTTCTCTACAATGCAGCAATCGATTGACAACATTCAAATATCTTTTGTAATGTTTTACGTACACATTACAAATGTTAAATTTACCTGAACCATGGTGTCACAAATTGATTTCATGCAACCAATTACACTGCTGGCACTGCCTGAAATAAGAAAGAATACAAATGAGTTACAACAAACAATATTTCCTCAGTTGAAAATCTCATTCACAGATAGGTTACAGAAGAAGTTGAAAATGTCACTTGATATTGGTAATGCATTCGTTCTCAGACAAACAAAGGCCTGGTACCTATACGTAGGTAAAAGCTTCGTGAGTAAAAAAACCAAAAACAAAAAGTTTTATACAATTACGTAGTTCACCTGATATATGAACCATCCTTTCAGAGGATTGTGGCATTGGATCAGAATCGATCTACGCATAGAGCAAAAAGTCAATAATAATAAGTTCGAAAATATAGACTTAGTGGCTTCGTATGGTGTGTACATGTTTTACCTTTAATCACCCACATGTTCTATTGGTGTGTACATTTTTTACCTTTAATCACCCACATGTTCTATTGGTGTGTACATGTTTTACCTTTAATCACCCACATGTTTTATACACATATAGTGAGTGAATTAGTAGTATTAACAAGACATCGTTGCTTAGTTCCATGAAAACAAAATTTAGTGAATTTGCGTTTTTTTAAGTAAATTTAATAAAAAATTGAACAAAGAGGTTCAATACAGTGTAGGCGAATGTAATCTAAGCTCTGAAGTACTCTTGTAAAATAAAATTCGACATAAATATCATAAAGCTATCAAAATTTAAATCAAGTTAAACCTTTTAACAAGTCTAGACCACTGACCAGTATACTATACAGTAGAAATGGTAAAAATAAAAGGTCTAGCTAGACTTCAATTGCGTTACCAGTTAGCAACGCGTACGCAAGCAGAGTGAAAGACGTAAATCATTTAACTTCAACAAACTAAAATTCATCATACCATGATGTGAGCTCCAGATTTCTAAAAAAATATTGAACAGTTTTATAAATATCTCAGAGCATAATTCTGACTTAACCATGGTTACCCCCAACCCTCACAGAATATCCTGTGGCGTATGCTTTTTAAAACATTCAAGACAGAGGAGAAATGCGGTGATTTTGCGATGAATTGCACTCAATTTGGTTCACATTAATTTATGTTAAAGAGTCACTGATTCTGTACATGCATATGCAAATATAATAATGGTTTTTGATTATCAAAAGTACATATAATTTAATGGTACGTACCTCTCGAATATATTTAATCGTTGACCCACTTCTACCAATCAGAGAGCCACACTGCGCGGATGGGACCAGCAGTTGAAAAACCATATCTTCAGGGGATGATCTGCTGTAGTAGTCCTAAACATTGTGGGGAAAATGTAAAACAATTGTTGAATGTACATGGACAAAGATAAAAAATCGTAAGTTAAAGTTAAATTTAGCATAAAACGTAACAGTTATGTACTTACGTAAAGACAAACGGAATATATTAACTATGCTGCATGAGGAATTTAGGAAGTGGTTATCTACGTGGTTATTGAGCGAGTTACGTATGTACTGTTGATGTTTGACGTAAGTCAAAGCCCTTAGTACGTATATGTTCAATACCACTCGCAAAGTTGATAATGCAACAATGACGCAGCAGACGGGAACCAAACTCAAGTCTACGTAATCTTACGTAGATGAAGGAAAGGGAGAGGTAAAAAGGAATGACAGCCAAGGGTAAAACATTATGATTGTAGATTAAATGCCAAATAAATGAAAGGTTAATTTGAGGATTTCCAGTAAGATTAAGGGACCGATGTGTGTGTGGGAGTGGGTGGGTGGTGGTAGGGGGAGGCTTGACGAACAAAGGACAGTTAATTTTTGGGAACGCAAGTTGAGGAAAGTTCTAACGTGAGATCAAGTTAAGGATTTTTGGCAGCAAAATGGACTAGGATAATCAAAAAAGACGAGTTGTTGGTTAATGAGAAAAGAAAAGGAGTCAAAATGTGTTGATGGCGACTACTTCCAGAGAGCAAGGAAAATTTACTGAAGGTTAGTTACAGAAAAATAATGGGAATATCTACAAACGTTGTCAGGTCAATTCAAAAGGTAAAAGGGAGGGAGCAAATGGAATTCATCAAACATGTTGGATTAATGGATAACCAAGTTCCATATTTTAACGATTCCAAAATCTTGTAGGGAAAAAGGTTTGAGTGACTGAACATCAGGGACATTAGGATACACTGATGGGTAAAGCACAAGGTTGTTATGTTTTCAAGGGTGGTGGTCATGGGAACTAGACTGAAACCCTATCCAGTTCTCTATAAAGAAAACAGCTTTTTGTTAAAACAAAACGAACAACCTACATCAAGTTCAAACTGATTTAACTGCAAGGAGCATCAGTGAAGGCAATGAAATGAAATTACTTTGTAGGATTGAAAACAAAAATTACCTCTTCAAACCGCTCAATAATCAATTTGAAAGCATGAATAACACTGTTGACAGGACCAGTTAAAGAAACCAGTCTACAAACATAAAACAAAGAGAAATCTTTGTCAAAAACAAAAATAATGTTGAATGACTCCTGACATTTGCAACAAACCTTTCTCTTGAAGTATTATCACTTATATTAATGATTGCATCACTCTGTTAAACACATAAAAAATTAAATGTCACATAAAATTTCATGTATTCAAGGAAATTGGAGTCACAAGGAGCAGTGTATAGTGAAAGTATCTAATCAAAACAAAATTTTTGTAATTTTATGTAATCTTGTTCACTATGTCATCAAAACTAACTTGAATGCAAATTTAAAACAATTTAAGCAAGAATCAATGCTTTCATTTATACAAAATAAAGACTTCTTCTACCTATATTGTAATAGCCAGCTTTACTCTTTCTACAGTTGTGCATGCAAGCAACATAATTGTCACTAAAGAGTCTAGATAGGACTGGGCACACAAGAGTCTGGATATGACTTGCAACAAAAGCCCCAAATTCTTAAAAAAATTCATTCCTTGAATCAAACAAACAAACAAACAAACAACATTTATATACCGGCCAATATTAATCCCCGCCAGTTTTCCTTGAATATCTAATATAAAAAAATTAAATATCTCAAACTCACAGATTTCCTAAGATTCTTAATGGTTTCACCACCCTAAGAAAATTCACAAAAATTGTTAGCAGGCAACCCACTTAATGTTATCTTACTTTCCTAAAAGTAATTTAACGTACATACCTTTCCAATCAACAAACCAGCTTCCTAAATACAAAAATACTTTAAAATCAAAAATAGGTACGAATTGCATACATGTGGGTAGCTTGAACAACAAATGTTTGAAAACATTGTCATTTTTATTATGTTGAAATTTTGTCATATGCTAAATCACATTGTATTTAACATTTTCATGAGTAGATTTTGTTATAATGAGATTTTGTTTTATGTAACATTCACTATTAAAAACATTGACTGATACACTTTTATGTGAAATTTTATACTTTGTTGAATCAGGTTATAAACAATCACAAATGTGTTAAACTTATTGATGTGTACATGGTTTGAAAATTTGGTTACATTACTTGGATATTTGACGCTATTAGATTCAATTTGTACTTAGAGCACAATAAAAACATTGATAATACAGCTTTTCACTTTAAAGTCAGTTGAATTATGTTTTATCCCATTTATGTTAGCTTTGCAATCCTTGCCTAGTACTTACGTAAGTTATGTTCAAAATATATGACTTTTTTGAAACATTTAATTCATTGATTGACTACTTAGTTTATCTTGATGATTTGAACTTCTGCTAGTAGTAGCAGACTTGAAAACATTTGTGGGGGTTTACAAAATTGATTGAAGTATTTGTAAATTATAGCATAGTAAAGATAGTGCATAGAATGTTATCGACAGGTTTGATCTCAACAACTGTCTTGTCTTGCTTAACCTCAGAGATATAAAATAACCCTGATCCAATTTTCTCAGCCTGCAGCCACACTGCCACACCACTCACCACACTTAAAAATAATGCCTGCTCAATCAAACCTGTTGCAAACATTTTATGTTGTTTCGAAATACCAAATTCCAATCATGTTATGTTGTGTATGTGTATGCTTTGTAATATTATGCAATATTAACTATGTTGACATGTATCATTCAGAGCAGTATCAGTGCAAAGTCAAATATATAGACAGTAATCGTAAATAAGCATTTAAAATACTAATGGTAGATACATTTTCATTAACTGACTGTGGCCAAATAATGAAAATACCAGTGAATTCAGATTATTCAGCATAATAATAAGGCATTTCAACATTTCTATACTTGTTGAAAGCATCTGTAAGTTGGTCGTAGACAACAAATGCCATAAATTGAACTTATAACTACTTCAAATTGAATATCTTACCCCATACGTATCGTGATAATTTGCTGAACAAGATTCAGTGAAAATAGTGGAAGTTTATTTTGACAAACTTATAACAACTAACAATGATTCAAGGTCCGAATTATCGCAAAAAAATTGCTTCGCAACTTTTTTCGAATAAGTTCCTACCGACCCCCCGTTCCGATCGATCCCCCCCCCCCGATTTACTTTCCTCTCGCAATTTTTACAATGCACATGATTGCGCCAATATTTTTTATTAATTTTAAAAACTATAAACTAAAATCCTCGCATTCGTTCTCTTCCAAATCGGAAAGCGTAGCTAATGCAATATCAACAACGTTTGTAGATGACGCTGACTTTGATTGCCTTTCTGCTGGATACTTTCGTGGTTTTGCACCATTTGGGCGTCTAATCTTTGCTCTAGCCAATATTGAGAGCTTCCTCCGCATTGAATTCAGCTAGCGGGCATCCTTCTTCACCAATTCTTAGCTGAGCGTCGAGTCGTTGTGTACTCAAACGATTTCGCAGAGTTGTCTTAATTCTGTTCATTCGGCTAAATAAACACTCCACCTTGGCATTCGTGAATGGTGTTATGAGCAACAATTCAATTATATGCAGTACATTTTTGCACTCTTTTTGCATTATAACATTTTCCCAGATGCTTTGCCATACATTTACATATTTTTCCTTTTTTTCTGCTCCAACTATGTAGCTTTTGACGTGGCAATAGCAGAAGAAATATTCAGTTATCCAACTGTATAATACGAAAGGAAAACGATGCATTTACTATTCAAACCTTCAAACGATTCCATTCTGAGACGACTTTGTCAATGTTGCATCCATTCTGAACAAGTAAAGCCTGGTAAAACTCTTTCAGTTCTAAAATTGCCTTGTCGCCATACCGCTTAAGTGCTTCGTCCTCCTTGGGCCACATTGCAAAGTCCAATATGACTGGCAGATTTTTAAACACCACACTTACTCGGAACTCTTCAAATCTTCCTTGCACACTCCTAGACACTGCATTAATCATTTTTTCATAAGTTTTCGTTACTTTCCTCCGGGACGCATTAAACCCTTTCAGCTTTATTTTTTGGTAAGAAACATCTTCAGAAACAGAAAAGGCAATGTTACGACATAAAGTATTACATTTACAAAACACTAATTATAACATTTAAAAGTACCTGCTTCATCTTCATCGTCTTCAAGTTCTTCCACTTGATGCCTGGTAATTTTTTGACGTTTTGTCAAAGGTTGGTGAGGTTCTACTGTGTAAAAAAACATTTCAAGCGTACGTAAAGTCAGGGACTCATTCATCAATTACTTACCGTCGTCGGACGTTGTGGCTTCGCACTCCTTCAAAAACCGTGTAAAATTAATAAGTTTTTCGGAGTCGTCCTGAACGCATTTATTGATCAATTCTTTTAGTTTGACCATAGTCCACTCAAATTCATTAATGCGCTTCACCGCTTTAACAGGGTCGTGAACTTCCTTTGGAATCCCAGGCTAAGAACCTAAAATAAAAGTCACAACTCTTAATTTTGCACCAGATTATATATGTTGTGATGAGACAGCAAATCTGAACATTGAAGCGTTATACTAATTACCTTCAAAGGCGTCAAAATGTCAATGTATACTGTCATCAGCATAGGATACTTTGCATACGTCCATTTTGACAAAAAACCCTTCAGTTCTTCTCTTTTTGCTGGCACCGAATCTGTTTGGGACAATGACTCAATGTGTAGCATGTATGCGCCATAATTGGCAACAAAGGTCTCCATGGCTTTCAACTTGTGGGTGATCCATCTCGTTCTAAAGGCTTTGGCTGGCTTTGCTATGCTCTTTTCGAAAATCTCGCTGATTCCCTTCAATTCGCGATAGCGCTTTGCCGACTTTTGGTACAAGTAATACAATTTAGTCAGGAGCTCATCCACTTCGTCAAATTCTGATTAAATGAGTAATGTATATATTATGAACACATTATTCTGAAATTCAACATCTTAAACAAAAGAAGTGTCTAACTGTTGTGACACCATACCTGTTCCTTTAAATGCGTCTTTAACAGCCAGTTCAAGGCGATGGTTGAAGCAATGAATAGTAAGCAGCCATGGTGAGTCTTTGCGAAGTTTGGCTGCAAGTCCGTTTATGCTACCCAAATTTACCGAAGCTCCATCCACGTTTAGCGCTGCCAGTTGTCTTGGGAAATTGTTCATGTGAAACCGGGAAAAACAATCCTGTATCATCTTCTTAAGGCCATCTGCACTTGTTGATGTAGGTGATTCAATTGCTAAAAACCTTATTTGAGGGATACCTGTCCATTGAAAAAATAGAAATAACGCATCTAAAGACAAGAATCGAAATAATTCAGTTCGGTGTATTGCATTTACCTTCACTGCTTATAAAAAGGAGATACAAAACTTCCTGTTCAGAAACGCCTTTGTCAGTGCTGCCGTCGGTCAACAAAGAAAAATAGCGTGTTTTCTTCAATTCAGACATCAGCTTCTGCTTGAGTTTGTCAGCAATTGAATCAGTGATGTTTGCCATAGCACGCTCGTTTCGGAATTTGGAACTGCAAATCATTCCGTTCATTTCGTTTAACGTAATGATGCCCTCACTATCGCTATAGGGTCTTTCTGAAGTGGCTAAATAGTAGGCAGTGTTGAAACGAGTAATCATTACTTTCCTGTCAATCTCTGCCATTTTGATCAAACCTCTTCCAATTGGAGATCGTTCAACAACTTGTGCGCCAAAAGTTTCGCCCAAGGACTTCTGATCAAAAAGACGTTTTGCATGTTGATGTGCTTTACCTTGGACATGTTTTTTCAAGCTATCTAATTTGACAGATGTTGTCCCATCTATCCATGCTTGCGAAAAACCAGCTATTGAAGAAATTCTTGAGGAGAATTCCACACAGGCAGAACATTTTAACGCTTCTACTTTTTTCTTATCTGTACTAAGACTTTTGATCAATTTAACGTTTAAATCTCGCTCCCAATTTTCTACAGTCTTTTGCTTCGCCATCGTTAACGTATGCAGTGTGTATTAGTTTGTGACTTTGTCACTTCGCGTTTTCAGATAATATTGAAAATGTTACGTTTCATATTACAATTGATAGCGACGTTTTTTAAAAAGTTGCGACCATTTTAGGATAAATTCCTGTTAGTCACATTCCTGAGGCATGATGTAATAGCAACGCTTTGAAATTATGCAAATAGTGCAAGAAATTTGATCATTTGATATTTCGCAAAGCATAATAAAAACACATCCATCACAGCAATATAAAAAGAGTGCTTTCAGTAAGCAAATTTACATTAAATAACAAGAAATGCGAAATGAGCTTCGCAATTTTACGAAATTTGCTTCGCAATATTTCGCCAAAATCGAAATCACTTCGCAATTTGCGATTTGCGAAGCGCTAATTCGGACCTTGCAATGTGAGTTCAATAAGGGTTAGATGCCATATATCTTATAAATTCTGCCTACATTTAGAGTGTGGTTGTAATGCACCTACAATAAGGTGCAGATTCTGTGGACATGAAACCAACACATGGAATTTTATTGTAACATAGTGCGCATGCGCAGAGGCTACCCACAAAAAACTAATGATGCAAAGAAAAGGTGTAATATGCTAGTGGTCTAAACTATTGTGAATAAAATGAGGAAGTAAAAATAAAGGAGCTGATCAAGATTAAAAAGACAATGGTGATAATTATGCTAAAACGTGGATACATATTTGAAATGCGTTGATTATTCAAATTTGCAACCCATGGCCTCAAAGTCTCTTTCAGGAAAGGTCTTAGCTCCTTTCCCTAAGTAAAAACCACTCAATTTTCCAGTCAGAGTAAAACCTTATCATTGGTGGAACAAATTGAAAGGGAACAGATAAAGAATATGCAAAAACATGAAAAATTAAAGCATGGATATTCTAAAATAAAGATTTCTTTAATAACTTTATGGCAACAACCTGCTATCCAAATGATTTTCACTGCTCAAAATGGCATTTGCTTTTTTACTTTTGAGTGAATTACCTTTCCATTCATGATAAATCTCAATGTAACAATATCATCATCAAAATCTGATTCTGACATCATTCTTGCTTTCTTCCTTCTATTGCTCATTCTAAAAATAGTAGTTTGGATTTTGAAACAGCTCAAATTTAGAAAAAAAGTTTAGTAAAACCTGTTAAGCTTCGCATTATGCAATTTACACGTACGCAGATTTAAATTTCAAAGCTGATATCTGCTAATTCAAAAAAAATAAAAATAGCAATTACTTTTTTAAATACCTTCGATCGAGTAATTACAAAGAGTAACACAACCGCTCCTTGTGAACAAACATACGTTCCAAAGAGACACGAAAAACAGACACGACTTTTTACAGTTGACGAGCAGGAAAAACTTTGAATAAAATATATGACAAAATGGCAGTCACTACGTTCGACGTGTAACCTGTAAATTGTTATTTTGGTCTAAACAGCGCATGCTCAGCGCATACAGTACGATGTTGACATACATCAGTAGATGTAAAGACAGATGTGTGATGTAATGATGAGTGGTGACCGAGTCTAGTTCAAATGGTACTGGTTTACTTTTTGTTCTCTGGTCAACAATAATGGCTATATCATTGAAAAATGGCAAACTCTATTGAAAAAGATATGCCTATCGTATTTATTGACGACGACGACGTCAAGCAATGTTTTACACCCCGAAGAACAGGTGAAAGTATGCACGTGTTAATGTTGTATGCCAACGGTCCCTACACTGTCGTATCTTGGACAGAGAACACTTAGGCATGATCCATGACTTTGACTGACTTCTCTCACAAGCGTCAACTTTTGCCATGTAGATGGTATTTTTATCATCACTATCATAATAGTGGCATGTGCTCTCAGAGTTGTAGATGTTTAACACCTTAATGTTCTTCATAAGAACATTAAATATGAAATAGAATAGGATCACTGCTTAGCCAACTGATGTGAATGCTGATGTCAAAATGCTCATTTCTGTATTAAATGGCTGCTCTCCCATTTGTTTATGTTTTCTGTTGAATTATTTCTTAGGATTAAGATCTGCTAGGAAAGAACTGAAATCTTTGGAATTGGTTGATGATCGTGCTTCTCTCTACTATGAAACAGTTGCATTGGACAGTAGTTCAGATGATGAAATTGAATTCATGCATGTATCAGGCAAAGGTATGTTTGCAGTAAATTGCCTTTGCAAAATTATTTTAAAAGAAAGACAACTGAACATGATCAATCATAATTTTCCAAGAAAGCCTTCAAAATTTCAATAGTTGAACCAAGCAACACTGTAAGATCTTGCTTTCAACCTCTGAATTCTTCTGAGTCTAAGTTATTATGTAATTTCAGGTGCAATGTGCAACTAGCATACTTTCTTGTGTTAATGTAATTTTAGTTATTAAATAGTAAAGAGGAAGGAATTGTCCTAAATACATTGAAGAAAATCAAAGAAAAAATGTTTGAAGAATGAAATTCCAGGACTGTGGTTAAAAATGTTATTGGGAAATTGCCCCTGATTCCCCCCTCCTCCCCTTCCTCCTAGCACTGGATGGAAAATAACAAGATTTCCATGCCTATAAATTTTACAACCAGAACATTTTTTGTGTTTGATATACACAAGAACTACGATGTTGCATGAGAAAGGAAAGGTGTTGGAGACTCAATCATAGTTCATGAAATTTAAATTACAATTTTATGGTAAATGCTTGCCCTTGTAATTTTTTTTTTTATGTACAGTTCTGTACATTTAAGAATCTGTTCTCAATGATATATCTATTTCTATAACAAATAGTCTTTCTTTTTTAAAGCCGTCCTAAGTTGTACACCAATATCTAGTCACAATGTTTTCAGTTTTCAGAAAACAAAACGAAAAACTGCTCTGGCAACTGCAGGTTTGTATTAAAATGAAGTATGAATGAATTGTCTAAAGAAATATAGTTTATAGGTATGTATTTTACGTATTATTTCTACTTTTTGTTATTCTTTTTCGATATACTAGCATCTGCAGCACAACATACCAAAACTCCTAAAACAAGAATCAGAGGAGAAAATACTCGTAGTAAGTCATAATTAGATCTTTTTGAATGTTTGATAGTGTTTTCAAAAACTTTCTTCTAATCAATTGGTCTTCTTGTTAGAAAGCAATGGTTCCTCTGATGAAAGTTCTGATTTGGAATCTGATAATCATGATGAAATGGAAGAATTGAGGAAAAACGTTGCCACGTAAGTACTGTAGAGTAACAATTTGGATGATTGTGAATACACTGGCCATAATATTTTTAATGTCGTCTTATACGTAATACCCTAGTAGAAATTAAGAAGTAAATTGTTTTTTTCGTGTTAAATATAGAACAATGAACAATAGGAGCGATAAAAAAAATAATATGGTATGTCATCAAAATTTTTTTTTGGAGGATGGTTTTTGTGTTGACTCGTGTTTTACGTAGTATATAAAACGTCCAGAAGAAAATGTAGACGTAGTGTAGGCACTTCAAATGGCATCAGAAATGAGCACGTTATGAAAAAAATCCTGAGTCCTTTCTGCAGTGAAATTCTCGTTTGTGTGGTAAAAGTCTTGTATTTAAGAGTTCACCATTTTTTATGGGCATTACATGCAAACACCCGCTCTCTCTCCAGTTTAGTTTATACTAAATAGTTTGATTTATTTAGGAAGGAATGCTAGATGAATACTTTCTTGCACACGACGAAAGGGATTGTTTAACGTCAGACAGAACCCTCTCAAGTCTTCCTACTCCAAGAATGGATCGAGAGGTTTGATTGGACCATAAATAACATCTTATTTGTACTTCACGCAATTGTTGATTACGTCATTATATGATGTTTTTTACGATGTGAATCGTGAATTTAAAGTGTTTTTTAACGACCAACGTCGTAAAACAATCCGGAGTTTATATTCGCATACACTTTTAAAGTGATATTATCTTAAGGTGGTACTGTATGAAATCATGCATGTACATAATACGTATACGTACAAAGTGTATTACAATGTGCCCTCCCGGCTATCACCATAGTAAAGTGGGGACTCCTGCACGTGGGACACAGGATGTACGGTTACACATTGTATGGATTGTTTTGTAGAGTCACCAGAGCGCCCAAACCTATAAAGGTGAGCTTTGCATTTAAAGCGAAAGCGGTGAACGTCTCTTTATGAACTTTTTACACAATCCGAGAGCGCTCAAACTGCGCAAGCGCAGCGAGCGTAATACGTATACGTATGTATACACGTATAAGCTACGTACTTGATTCATATGGATTAGTCTTTCTTGTTTGTCATCTTTTAACAAAATTAGCAAACGCTATTTTGGCATGTCAGCTCATCTACATGGTTCTTCATCCAGACGCTGTCCTCTGTACTGAAATCCAGAATCGGAGATCATCAAAATGAGCGATTAAGATTGTTCAATGAATATAAAACGTACTTTCCAAAATGGATGTTTCAACTACGGTGAGAATTGTGATGTTATGATATTTCAGATTATTCTTTTCCTCCACATTTCTTGCTATCAAGTATCAATGGATTCAATCTGCTGTTATAAAGTCGATAATAATACTCTATTTTAGAAACGGTTTCAATTTGCTACTTTAGGGCCTTGGATCCAAACGAACCGTCATTTATCAGTTTCAAGAAAAAATGCTCTCACAACGTATGCAAATGGTTGTCAATGGATTTTTCCCGAGCGTCACTATAAAAAATGTTAGTTGATAAATATAGTTAAATATTTCATTAAATGAAGTATACTCTCGAAAGAACTTTTTTCATAGAGCCTTTATAATATTTTACATGAAGTAATTGCGTACGTGTATTCTTAAGGTTTTGTGTTTTACGTAGATTCTCAATACCATCACGAATGATGTTCTTGAACTCGATGAAACGTTCAAAAATCTTGTTGAACATTGTGCATTTATCACTGATTACTTTGAACAAAATAAGGATGAAGAATTATATTTGACCATTCACAATATTGATGGGACAATGTTGAGATCAAGTTCGGTAAGTGTTGCACCAATTTGTGAGCAAATGAACTTTGCAACCAGGTTCCATTAGTTCATGTGAACAGCTAAATATTATGCATGATATTTATGCTGTCGAAGGAAGTTGTGCAAGACGTGAGATCAGCTGGCGATTATTTGTTATTTGCAATACATGAAGTAGTCGAATAATATGCGAAAACGTTCACTTTTTCTTGAGTTCAATTTTTATTTTGCCCTCTAAAGATCATGTTGCAAGTTCGCAAAATATACGTTTTGTCGACACAATGTCCCTAAATCAATGAAAATTTTTCTTCGACTGTTCAAAGCGTGCCTGCCATTTGTACCACATATATTGAAGCATGAAAGATGATCTTGCTATTAATGTGAACATTTGAACTTGTAGAACTTTGTTTTAAAGGCAGTCTGGCTTCATTGCTTAAATTCTAAGTCATTATGACTCGGTGATGAGCCTAATAATGAAAAACGCCATGTAATACTTTGCAGTCATTTTCTTTGACATTTTTTGGGCTATATCGCATATACAACGTAAGACTGAATCAGGCCCTGTAGTCCAAGCCTATTTCATGTATAAATGTTTTATAAAATTACTTTATATTTTCATATAGACTCAAACGATTATCAGCCTACTTGCACAATGCTCGTCTATTTTTGTTATAGCGTCTATAGATCATATACATGCACCTCTTAGTAAGTAAACAAATTGAATGACAACAATTTTTTTCACCTTTACTAAAATCGATTCTGTGACAACAACAAGTTTGATTTGTTTACGTGTAGTTTGGGATCAATCCCAAATGGGCCGTTTTAACTGGTTGTGGTATGATGTTACAACGTTTGAGCCTTATACTGAAGAAACTTCTTATGAAAATTCTTTGTTGGTTCAACAATCTGGATCAATGGGCCTTAGCTCATTAATTCACGTATTTCAAAGTTTAACCGCGAATGCGAAAGGTATATTCCTGCTCATTGGAAATTATCAATTGGAACGTTCAAACGAAGTAAATTATGTTGGTTAGTCCATGTTTACTGAATAAGATTAGTTAATACCAATATAGACTACATTTAATAGCCAAGTTTCTATCTCTAGGAATGTCGTTTTCCGATTGTTACACAAAGTGTCGCGAGGCTTTTCTTGTAAATAGCGATGCAGCACTTCGAGCTCAATTAACAGAATTTAAGGATCACAAGTTGATGCGGTTAAAAAAGGTTTGTGATTTTCTGAAAAATACGCTTTTTGTAAACGCATTCGTTTAGAAAGTGTTTATATAATCACGGAAGAAGTCTATCGGAAGAGCTCTGTCGGTATATTGTTTAGATCATGCATGGTAATTAACGTGTATCTTGGAAACACCATCTTTATCATGCTTGCTGTTTGACTAATGTAATAACCATTCCCATTTCGCCCAACTCATACGATATTCCGTAGTTTCCGTGCGCCAAACTAAACCTTGAGATTACATTTTACATTTATTTTTCCAGGGAACTGATGGCGTGGAATATCTTCTTATTTTGTTGGACGTTATAATTTTAAAGAAATTTATTGAAGAACACAAAGATCTTGTTTGAATGTATAGCGGATTGTATAGTGAATGTATATTGAATGTATAGTTTTTTTGTTGTGAATTAACTGAGTTTCGCAAGATGAAAAAAATGTACCTTCATACATAACTTGGTTTGCTCACACTTTCCAACTTTGTCATTCATCAAAAGTGATCTGTTATTCTGCACTGTACGCAAGCTGTACTTATAATAACATATGCAATTGTAAAATAAAAAAACTGAACCTATAATAAGGCTATGAATGTGACAAGCATTGCTAATGCGTTATGTTTGTGAAGTTTAATGACGGCGGAGCATTTTTTGACGTGTGTTGGACGGGGGAGAGGTCGACTGTTGAAATGGTTTCAATCATATAAATAGTCGCAAGACGTCATTAACTTTGCTAAAGATTGTTGAGAACAAGTTTGCAGCAATTTTGTGCTGTACTATGTCAATAAAGCCTGACAATGTTGTTCACGCTTTTAACAATATTCTTGGAGATTGTTGAATTAACTTAGTAAAATTGATGGATACGTAAATATCAATTTGTTACCAAGCATGATTTTTTATGCCAACAAATTTTGGTTATAATTCCATATTCTACATACGCCAATTTGGAGGAAGCAACATGTATTAATAACATTGTCATCGTCAACTTCTGTACTTTCTCTACCGTCATCCATTGTCTATAGTGTTCAGTATCCTATTGTCACCCTCAGTAACCTACTGACAACTACCACCATCAATTTTCATCTTCAATAATCTACTATTACGTATCGTTTACCACAAGCTAACATAATCTACTGTGACCAAATGTAACCTACCGTCACCTACTTATCATTTACTGTCGTGTACCATCCGTCTACTGTAATTCACTTTAATCTACTGTTATCTATTGTTATTTATCGTAATCCACTGTAACCTACCCTCATCTACCGTCAACTACCGTCAGTCCGTCACCGGTCACCCCTAGTCACGGAAGTCAACTGGGGCAACCTACCATCATCTACAGTCACCACCATTACCTAATATCAATTATACTAGACCATTGTCATTTATTATCACATAATGTCATCAACCATCACCTGTTGCCACTTGGCCGTTATGTACTGTTACTGTTAATCATCCACATTAACTTTGACGAAGGAAGATCATGAGCGACTAAACGTTGTTAATTTGTCGTCAAATATTTTCATGTTCTTCGAGTATCTTAAAATACAGTCCACCATTATATGTTGGTAGAATTAGATCGTTAAGTTTGGTGGTGTCCTGCGAGAACTGTTTTGGTGTAGGTGTTGACATTCTGTTGACTGACGTTTTCCAAGCATGCGAGATTTAATGTGATCACAGTAACATGACGTATTTCTTAAATGAATCGGGTGTCTGTCACTATGGCGGCAAAATAAAGCAAACTTGTCATTTGTCAAACATCAAAATATATTTGTGTTACTGTGTTTTCATACGTGCTCAGATATATAAAGCTTTTGATTTTCAGAAAGACGTTAGAAAATGGGATTTTTTATCAAATAATGTCGTTACGAAAAGTATGTATATAAAAAGTTTTACAACGATATTTTTAAATTACAAATAACTGTTCGTTAACATCAACATCTCGTCAAAAATTATTCTTAATTTTATGCTTCCATTTTTTAGAGTAAGAGCAAAGAAGATACATGGACAGAGAAAGATTTGGCCGATGCAATACAGGTGTGTGTGTTATAAATTCTGGTAACAATTTTTCTATGGGAAGCATTGTTAAACCATTGACATTTGACAATGTAGTATCCATTTATCAAACTTGAAAAAATATACAGAATGAAGACACCAGTTTGCCTACATTCTAGGGGAATACAGCAAAGCAAACAAAAGATTCTGGAAGAGACTCGCATTTGCAGAGAACGAAGGATTCAAAACACAAGGGGACTGATGATATGGTAAAGAAAGTTTTGATCAAAATTGATCAAGTTATTAATTTTATCCCTTATTGAATTTCTTGTAAAATTGTGTGTATACATGATAATTTGTTCATGTTACTTTGCATTTGCGAGAATTTTTTGTGGAATTATCAGTAAATATGATAATAGTCATTGACATCATGCCATTTTCCCTCATAATTTTGATTTAATTTAAGTTAAATTTGTTGCATAGTCAACCCAAAAAATTATTTTTCTTCACATAACATGATCTATAGTACCTTCAATAGTGATAATTTTGCCTAATAGGATGGTAGACATGAAAAATCAGAGAGATATAAAGGCAAAGATTTAACAGAGATCAATGGTACGAGTGGAAGTCTGAGAACAAGGGAGAGAAAAAACAGGAAACAGCCAGATGATGGTGATGGGAGTCAGGAAAGATTTAAGAAAAAAATGGAAAAGAGGGAGAAAGAAGATATTGGATATCATGATGAAAGATTTCAAGAGAAAAATAGGAAACATGAAAAGTATTCTAAAGAAACAAGTGGCCAAAAGGAGAGGAGGCTTAGGGATGATGACGAACATAATGTAGAAAATTTTGATAGACAAAGATCTAAAGAGAAGCCACATAAAAGTGAAGAAGATCAACATACATGGAAAAGAGAAAAAGACAAAAGAAAAGAAAGTGGACAAAAACTTGATGGTGACAAGAAACATAGAGATGAAAGAAAGCATGGTGATGAAAAGATATGTGGTGGAAATGAAAGGAAAAGAGGCAGCATGGAGAAGGATAGTGAAAGGAATCATGGAAGTGATAGGAGGAAGGATGGTGAAAGAAGACATGAAAGATGTGGTGAGGAGGATGGTGAAGAAAGTAAAGATAAGAAAGTACTCCAGAAAAAAGGACAAAAGGAAGACAGAAGAGAAAGGAAAAGTTCTAGAGATGAAGGAAAGGCTACAGTTTCAGAAGATATCAATGAACGACCATTTGATGGAGAAGCCAAAGAAAGGAGAAAAATGGAATCACACCATGACAAAGATAAACGTGAAAAAGATGACAGTGGAACCGAACAAAGACTGCGAGACAGACACGATAGTTATAAAGATGGAAGAAAAGATCCCCGTATCAATAAGGGTAGCCTATACGGCAATGACATTCGAAGACGAGAGAAGGATGAAAGAGTTAAAGACAAAAGTGGACATCGAAGAGATATTGATACATGGCACGATCGCAGTGAAGGAAATGGAAAACACAGAAGTAGGGTGGATGAAGAGGAACGGAAAAAGGGGAAAAGGAAAATTTCTGAGGATGGTAGAGGAAGACAGGATGAACATGAATTGAATGAAGATAAAAAAGAAAGACGACGGGATAAAGATGAGAAGCATAAAGAAAAACAAAAAATTGATTATAATGAACGCGAGAAAACTGATCAAGACCACAATCTTGGATATGATGAAGGTGGTAGAAAAAGAAAAGAAAAAAATAATCGTGATTATGATCCAGCAAAACAGAAAGATACAAGAAGTAGGAATCGTCTTGAAAGTTTGAAAGATGATAAAAAAGAAAGAAAATCAAGCGTGCAAGATCAGGTAGGAACACTTTTTTGGTAAGACGTTTTCAGAAATGTATAATACTCTAAAATATTTTATTTAAATAATACACGATATTAAGATCAATTCTTGTAATTTTAGTCGTGCTCAGTCGCAAAGGTAGCGCTTTTTTTCCTACAATGCAACTAATCTTTCACTCACTGGAAAAACAATGAATGGAAGTCATTTCCTGAGAAATAAACAATAATTTGTTTGATAAAAGTTTGGGCTGGCTTTGCCATTGGTTTTGAAAACATTTCGTTGTTCACTCACTGTAAAAATAATAGATTTACATATAAACAAATACATCGAATGATCCAATATTTAAAAAACACCATTGGACTAAAAGGCTGACCACGACACTGTTCGAGGTTACTCTAAATTTTAACATTAGTTCTTGTTATTTGTCACGTCTATACTAAATTTATGACTCATTTTAAGCTCTGGATTTCTGACCACTACCACCAACGCCTGCTTTGGTTTATTGCATGTGTAATGCGAATTAATGATATGGATTTTATCTACGCAGATTAGCAACGACACTTTAGCAAACGAAAATGCGACTGAAGTTGATGAAGACATTCAAAATGAAGACAGTAATGAAAATTATGAGGATGACTTTGAGGTTAGATTCAAATTGCAGACGACTTCACAAATTTCTGTGTATGGATAATGTATTTGTGTTAGTCAACTTGGATTGAATGAAACTTCATCGGCTTACTTCAACACAGGATCTTCTCCTGACCAACATTTTTATTCAGTATGCTATTTTTTTACTGAATGTTGAACTGACATGTTAAGTTAACATTGAGTTATTATCATGTGTAACTGACCTGTTTAACTGTAACATGTTTAACTGATATTTATAACACAGTCATGTGTAACTAACATGTGTAACTGACATGTTAAGTTGACATGGGTAACTGACATTACAGAAATTTTACTTGTTTTATTATGGGCTTATCATGGAAAGGTGACATGCATAAGTTCACTCACCTAATGAAACCCAATTTTCCCTCATTTTTTAGGATTATGAAGATGATTTTGAAGATGATGATGAAGATGTTGACATTGATGATGATCAAAGCGAAAACAAGGAAGTAGGTTTCACAATTTTATTTATAAATGGCAAATATTCACTCTAAATTACACGAAAACCAAAGAAGTTCCTGTTAACGTATACCATTGCGAGTTTATTATGTCATCTTTCTTAAATTATTTTTTTCTAGGTTAAAGGAAAACTTTTAGAGGTACACTTTCTTAGGCGGTTATTCATGTTTCACATGGTCTTGGTTGAAATTTCAAACTTAAAATCTTTAAATCTATGTTTGTGTAGTTTGTAAATAAATGGCTGTATTAATCTATGCTCTCGCTGATCATCTTCTAATTTTGTTATCATAATCTTCTTCATTAAGATTTTTGAAGCTATCAATGCTGAAAACAACGACATAAGATCTGTACGAAAAAAGATGTTAAGGTAATAAACGTTTATTTTAATCTATGACACTTCTAGGATATACGTATATTCTCATCCACTGCGTTACGTAAATTTTATAAACTTTCTTTGCACAATTGGGAATCTCTGTGAATGTCATTGATGCATACGTAATTAGGATTTATTAACAAGAACAGCGAGAGTGAATGAATTAGAAGAATTGAACTGCACGAAGGATTTAATCACAAAAGAAGAGAACGTTTTGTAGAGTTAGACTTTTTGTAGAGGGTTTGAAAATGAAAGGAGACTATTTTGTCTCGAACGATTTTGTCTCGAAGGAAGGTGAAACAAAGACGCCACAAGAAATGTTGAGCTACGTAAATGCTAAAACTGTAGGAGTGCGAGAAGGAGGGGATGAAACCAAATAATGGGAATAATGAGGAAATTGAATATTTTTGGGTAGAATAAAGGATTTATTATCATATAAAAGACTGTTTATCTAGAGTGAAGAGGTGTTGAGCTTTATGGGGACAGTTAAAAATTAGTAGTGGACTAGAAACTGCTATCTTTATTTTTTTGTAGATAAACGAAAAATCAAAAAATAATAATAATGGTGAACCACACGGCAGAATAAATTTTTTTGCTGCAAAACAAAAACACGCGACAGATATTATTGTATCTAAGACGAAGAAACGAGCAAAAGTAAGATAGTTGCTACTAGGATGAAAACACTTAAACAATCGTTGGGAAATGAAATTAGTTTATATTCACTTTCCTTGTTTGTCAGATGTCAAAATGTGTTCTTAACGCCATTTCTATCCATTTCTGTCACGTGTCAATATTCATTTCCTAAATTTTATTCACACCATCTCTATCTTAACATCTGTCACGTGTCAATATTCATTTCCTAATTTTATTAACACCATCTCTATCCTAACATCTGTCACGTGTCAATATTCATTTCCTAAATTTTATTCACACCATCTCTATCCAAACAACCGTCACGTTTTAATCTTCATTTATTTAACATTCTGTTTAGGAATTATTGCACCTCATTGAACTTGATGTAGCTTCATTTGATATATTTGATCTTCCACCTCTAAATGAATATGAACTATATATAAAAAGTTATGGTCAGTCTGATTGTAAACAGGTTAGATTTAGAAATTCTTTCACAAATTTAACTCAAAATTCCTCATTTTAAAGAGCCAAATTTCTCGATTTTGGCTTCTTTTGACTTGTTTGGTTACTAAAAATCTCGTTTTGCACCTTTCTTTTTTGACTTTACTTTGATTCTTTTAAATGAAACTCATAATTTGTTAATGAAATAGTTAAACGTTTGTATTCATCGATAAAATTTTTCATTCATTATTAGATAAGAGGGCAAAGACTTTCGAGGTAACCCCCGGAAATAGTAATGCTTGAACATTGTGGCGTCAAATTTTCTATCACTATTTATCCTATTGTGTGGGGAAGCGTCATTTTAAAATACTTCCGCAGAACTGCAGTCACCATATTTTTATTAGATTTCAAGTAAAATAGCTTATTATTAAATGTTTCCATGAGAAATACAAAGTAAAGATGAGAATTGCTTCAAAAAATGCTTGACCAAATTGGCTACTTTTTATCCGCTAGCTCTATGGCTATTTCCTGCCCAGACCACCTGGCAACCATTAATTATCTCATTCCTTTGTACTGAAGATCTATTAAGCATGCTGAAACATTTTTGCTTTAAAAAAACGTTGTTTATTTGAAATGGCTATTATCCATTGTGTCATTTAGAAACTATGGAAACAACAAAGGATACTTATATGTATCTGTAACTGAAGATGCTTGTTTTTGAAAAAAACATTTGCAGGTTAAAGAACATGTTACGTTAATGTCTTACGTAATTATTTGAATTTTCTTACTAGGTGCTGAATTTTGATTGCAATGTTATAGAACTACATCGTCTCAAGGAAAACTTATCTCAACTTAAACCTGATGATGTTGACAGTTTTTCCAATTATATTGATTCCATTATATGACCAACCAAATCATGAAAGTTTCTACAAAAATTTATTTATTTTAATGTATAAAGTCTTTATTTATACCATCTAAATTGTGTAAATACGCTGAAAGTTCACTTTAGTGTCCTAGTTCCTAATGGACAATATACATGAATAAAGTAGCCCCGAATCGGGAAAAGCGAAAGAAATATTAATAATTGGGCGGGGTATTTATCCACTCGAATTTTACAATCGATTATCACTATTGATTTCAAGAAAAAATAATAAAGTAGAACATGCATATATGCATGAATAAAAGTTGCTTCAGTTTTCAACCTTCGGCCACCCCCGTAAGGGTCGCGTCGATAATTGGGAGGGAGAATATTCATAAAATTACCTATATAAATGCACTGACCGAATTGCAATGGTAATATAAAAACCAAGCAGGACAAGCATGCTAATACATGCAATTCCTCATATTAATTTAGTTTACTGGTTCTCCCAAAGTATATGCATGATGGCGGACGTGTTACATTTCTTAGGAACAGCAAATTATAATCTGCTAGTTTTTGTAAAAAAAACTTTTGTCAATAGGCGATTTGTAAAAATGGACAATAGAGTGAAGACAAAAACCATAAAAAGTTGTACCTAATTTCGCCATTACCAATCAAACCAAATACGTTGAATTGAATAAGGCATTTATCTTTTTATACCTTATGCGAATATGGTATTATTTGATAAAAAGCTAATGCGTCTGTGAAGATATTTCATTGTGTTTATCGTTGTCAAATCTATTCTCAGTAAGTTACTGACAAGAAGTCAAGAAGTGTCCTACCTGCATATTAAACAATGCTATCATGTCTCAGATGTTACCGCTGACACACAATATTATAGTGTTCAATAAAAACAGTGTTTTCTAACATTTCTTCTACAAATGTGAGGAGTGAATGATCAGTGGTGTAACACAATCACTGGGGGCCTCCTTCAATTACTCATATTTAAGGGGGTGTACAGAGGGGCAAGTCAAAAACTAGACCTTCTGTTTACTAAAAATTCTTAAAAAAGCGTTGGCGTTACTAAATAATTTTATAGTTGAGTGTTTGTACAACATATACGCAAAGTCAAGAGAAGAAAATTTTACGGAAGTTTGCGCACTTGATACGGGAGGGTTAAAAAGGCTCCAGAAGAACAAACATTCTCGTTAAGAGGATGAATGAAGTCATACATCACAACTTCCTGTACAAACTTTAAACTTTACCTGAGCTCATTTTTTATCTGTCTGCGTGTGTTGCCTATGTGTTTATATTACTATGTTTCTTTATGAGAAATTTTGTGTTTGTATCTAATAATACAAATTCTGAAAACACCGACTTAGCAATTGACGCAAGACTCTCCGACAATCAAAGCTCACAATATGCAGGATGAACCTGACGCAACTGTTTTAAATAGCAACGGCACAGACGCATTTTTTATTTGATGGAAATTTTAAAACCAGATGAATAAGGTCATATCTAATTATGACCTAAATTGCTCGAATAGCTTTAGTCACTTGAGTTTGAACAATGCACCAAGTTTCAAACGATTAAAGGCTGAAGATCATGATCCAAGCATTTTACAGTGACACCTGTTTCCAAACTCACTTGATTTCACAAATATCGGAAAAAGCTTCTTTATCGAATTATTCCCAAATTAAATGAGACGTCTTTCAGTAACTTGTCATCGATGACAGTTGAAGGCAACAACTTGCAATTTGCTCATTCTCAATATATCTGATTAAGAATTACAAAACGCAAATTAACGTCATATGTAGAGTTAGTCATCATGAAATCTCGAAACATATGTTTCATATTTTCTTATATTGTAGATCCCACATGGATAGAGTTGTAAAAGTCCCTTTACCACCTGTGTCACTCACTTCAATTACTCTTACTAGTTTGTCATTACTCGTGTGTCATGGTGATTCTTGGCCAAGAATGTTCATTTGTAGTTTGGATTCTTTGTTGATGTCAGTTGTATGTTCATGTAATGATGATGTGCCCAATTGTTATATGAGCCCACCTAAAGGTGGTCAACTGATACTCACAGAAGATCAACTCTGCACTAAGCATTCTTTGAGTGATGATATAACTGGGATGTTGTAGTGATCCCTTTTCCTTTGCTTGAAGTTACCATAAGAGTGCATTGTAAATGGTAATATATGGAAATGGCGATTCATGATATCAGTCGCTACTTAGTAGCTACCGGTAACTTCATGTTTGGAATAGTATAAACATATTGAATGGACATCACATAACGGCATATGTATTTATGAACATTAGCATTGAAATTTTTGAACAATAAAAACGGAATATATTCTACGATGAAAAACAAGCGAGTGGAAAAACACGATCCATGTCTGGTGGTTTGTAAGGTAAGTAGACACGTGTTGTATGAGTAACTGCATTAGACAGTTAAAAAGGATCCTGATGGTCTATTTTTATAATTTTAACCTTAATCATGAAAAACATCCAAATAAAAAAATGTCAATAAAAGATGTCACTTTCTGTGAGAAAATAGCTGGCTTTCACACACTTCCTTTTACTTATTTTATTTAACGTTTATAAAGAAAATTGCAATGCTGTAGGTAGGGTTCATTGAATTTCTGGGTAAATAATGTTGTAGTGATCACTACAACAATGACTACCGCTAAGGTTGTCGAAACGTCAGTCAACAACATCAAAAACAGTCCTTCTCAGGACTTTATTAACCTGGACGATCATCATTTACAAACATATAACGTGTTTTTTATAGAGTAGCTATTTCTATTGGCCTACTAACTGGACAATGAATGAACGACCAACAAAAGCACCAAGAAACAAGTGTTCTTATTGAAAGATTTACACTTGCGACTTTTGTTAATATTTTCAAATTCAACCGTTAAAAATTTCCGTAAAACTAAATTTTCACAATTATTAAATTTTCTGACCAAACACACGAGTGAAAGCCAGCTATTAATGAAGGTCTTAATGAAGCAACATGGAAATTTTGAATCGAATGAAGTCTAGTAGACATCAAAAATGATTTTTTTGCAAGTAATGACGTCAATTCGACAGGGGAATGGTCAGGTCGTTCGTACTGAATAATTTTTTCATATGATATATATATGGCTGCTATTAGTTTCTTGCTATTAGTATAGCTCTTTTTTTTTTGTTCTCTACCAAAGTTTGCGTTACTTTTGCTCGAGTAAAAAATATTTGCTGTGTCAATAGGGTAATCAGCCCGCTTTTTTGTCGCCCTGTAAATTCAAATATGCATACGGCCGTAACGCACGATCTGACTACGCTACTTGTTGAAGTAGATCATCGGGATCATTGAAAACAACAAAAATATGAAACTTCTTAATGGTACAAAAAATTAAGGAAATTTTTCTAAATTTTTGATCTTTTCTTTTATTGGAGGGGTTCTTACCGGATCCACCGGTTTCCCCTCCCATTTCGTTTTGTTTTGGGAAAAAAACGGTGTCAAAATTAGGGGCCATTTCTCATAACATTATTTATTGTAGCTATCATGAATATTCACGTTTCTTTTTCATTTCTTAACCTTTGGGTACATCTCCTACAACACTGCATTTATTAAATACAACAGTGTACATTACAAAAACAGGTGCGCAGTGTGTACATGTTGGTAGCCAGCAAGTACATAGCTACTGAATGAAGTAGATTTAATAAACTTAGTTAAAATAAAATTAAATATTAAATATAATTTACATCAAATATATGACGTCATGTATGACGTCATTTTCTTGTTTTGTGATTAAAAAAGCCTACACAGAATTCAGTCACTAAATTGCTTGATGCATCTTTGTTACGTTAGACCAATTGACCTAATTCATTTAATCTCTTGGAAGTAACGTCATTGCATGTATTCAGTTCACTACTGGAATCAGGGCGGTTCTGCCAGAAATGTAGTTGAAAATCACATTCACCGACTTAAATGGCTTAGCCTGTAGGCCTGTTGAGCATACTTGTGATTCTTTACTTGAAGTTCCAAGCACCTATCAGTGCTATAATGAGCTAGTTGAAGAGTTTTCATCCATTCTTCGTGAAAAAGTTCTTGGACGTTCAATATTGTCTAGTGAGCATGTTAAAGTCATATTTTCACATCTATATTATTGTGAAGTTGATGTTCGCGCAAGGAATAAGCCAGCGACAAAGGCAGCCAACCTAAAGGCTGCTTTCCATTTATGTTTATAAGAAAATAACTAGTAAAGAACAAAAACATAAATGGGCGCTAAATACTCATGAAAAGAAATGTTTGATAGCATTGAAATCATTGCAATTGTGAAAAAAAATTGGAGAAACCTTTTCAAACGATTGGCATACATATAAATCCATTTTGTCGTTATTTATTACTAAGTTATCGTTATTCATTGTTAACATACAGCTAAAGCCACAAAAAGATTATGTGTTTAAACATTGTACAGCAAAGCAATGAAAGTAATTGTGCAGTCAAGTGCAATAACTATAGCTAAATATTTATTTCCTTTTTGTAATAAGCCAAGAAAAACATGCCGACAAAGCCAATTATAACTCCAGTATTCTGTAGAAGAAATAAGGTGATCTTTGATTGGTCACTTTCTTCAGTCACGTGCATCAACTCAGGTAACTAAAAAAAGAAAATGATACGTACTTTGATTATCAGCAGCATTACAGTTAATCGAGTTTCCACGTCTGACGCGTATACATAAAATTACACTTACTTTGTTTGTGAGAGCAATGTACAAGAAAAATCCTCCAGTAACGCCGAGTATCCACAAATTAGCATCTTCAATCTCACCAATTTTCTTTCCAAGTACAAGACCCATAAAACAGAAACACGATGACAAAAAGTTGGCAACAACAGCTTGTCGAACACTCATTCCCGCCGAGAGCAACACAACAAAGTCACCTAAAACACAACCACATATTTTCTCGTTTGAAAATACTCACATATGTTAAAATAGATATAGTAATATAATCTTGTTTTTCTTGATGTATCAATCAAAAACAACCAACTCTCGCCTAATGGACCCTACGGACGGCAGATTCACCAACAACTAAAAATGTTATGAAATGCATTAAAATCATACACTCTCACGATTGTATTTGGACAGAATTTGGACACTCCGTGTTCTCCCAATCATTTATTTTGACAGCCTTCACTATAACAAATGAATAAATC